CGAACACTGGGATTGTGCTTTCTCACAGACATTATGCTCTTCAATTGTTAGAAGATACTGGCTTTCTAGGTTGTAACCTGCTGTGATTCCCATGGATAGCAAAGTTCGATTGAACTCCTTTGAGGGGGAGTTGCTGGAAGATGCTTCTATGTATAGATTGAACTCCTTTGAGGGGGAGTTGCTGGAAGATGCTTCTATGTATAGAAGATTAATTGGGCGTCTGCTATACTTAACCGTGTCAAGACCAGATATCACCTTCGCAGTTCACAAGCTCAGTCAGTTTGTTTCGTAACCACGAAAGCCACATTTGGATGCTGTACATCATTTGCTGCAATACATTAAAACCACTCCAGGTCAAGGTAGGTCTTCTCTTTTCTGTTGGTTCATCACTGTAGTTGCGGGCTTATGTTGATGCTGACTGGGGTTCTTGCCTAGACTCCAGGAAATCAGTAACTGGATTTTGTATTTTTCTTGGGGATTCAATGATATCATGGAAAGCAAAGAAACAAACTACCATTTCCAGATCATCTGCAGAGGCTGAGTACCGTGCCTTAGCGTCTACAGCCAGTGAACTTGTATGGATACAACAATTGCTCTGTAATTTTCATCTGGATGTCAAGGAGCCAGCTTTAATATTTTGTGATAATCAGGCTACTGTACATATAGCCACCAATCCTATATTCGACGAACGCACTAAACATATAGAGATNTATAGCCACCAATCCTATATTCGACGAACGCACTAAACATATTGAGATAGATTGCCACTTTGTGAGAGATTAAATCAGTGAAGGAGTCATCAAACTATTACCAGTTCGTTCCAATCATCAACTTGCAGATATTTTCACAAAAGCTTTACCTGTGACTACATTGCTTTATTTACTCTCCAAGATGGCTATTGTTAATCTTCATAGTCCATCTTGAGGGGGAGTGTTGAAGCCAATGGATCAGCTGGAGGATAAATCACGAGCCTACCTGCCTTGCCGTCCAGCTCACGTGTGTTACATTAGTTAGGATATTAGTTAGCTTAATTAGATATTTTAGATGTAACTGATTTTCCCGCTTCTTTACTTCTCCCGCCTATTTTCATTTTTCCCATTGTATATATTTGATCAAGCTTATTCATTCCATGAACAAGACGAGTAATATTTTTCCTCAATTGATTTCTTTCCTGTAATAACTAGATCACCTAAATAAGACCACCATCACCAACAAAGTTGATTCGCCAAAGTTCATTCCTTGGCTATAGCCATCACCATAAAAGAAAATGAGAAGGTAATAAAGGTAAAAGCTGAAGGGTCACCATAAGTTTTCTTGCTGTTGTCATCACATTGACATGAAAGTGGTTTACAGTTGCATAACTTCAAGATTGATTCGCCGCAGTCCGCTCCTTCTTCATCAACGCTGTAGTCTGCTCCTCTTCTCATCCAGTTGTGCTGTGTTTGATTTTAGAAACTTTATTCGCGTGCAAAAGTACGGGGACCATCTAAATTTTTACTTGTAAGGTGATATTCCAATTTTGTTTTTTAACCTGGTACAAAGTTCTCATTATTTTGAAAATTCTCCAGCTATTCTACTCATTAATGGAGGAAGCTCACGCACTTGTGAAGTCGTACTTCGAAAGTACTCTACAAGATTCTATGGTATTAATTAGTGGTTCATTCGCGATGTTCAATGTTTGAAGAATTGAACTAAATCACACTAGAAGAGATAAATCGTTATTTTAAATAATTTAGATTAATATGATGATCTTCAAGAAAATTGGTATTTAAATGTTATTTTTTGTCTATATTTTATAGGTAATTTGGACTTTTTGTACCTAATCTTTGCAAAATGTAACAAGTTTACCCTAAATTTTGTTTTTAGCATAATCCATCTACAACATTTTAATTATGTAGCAAAACTAGTCACTTCCTTCATTTTATCCATTAAATGACGGATTTTCCATTTTCTTTAAAAAAAAGGTAATAAAATTTTTTCACTTAATATAACTAAATATATATTAACACACCAAAGAAAAAACATTTAAGAAAAAAAAGAGTAAACAATTCATCTTCTATAGACAAGCTCATCCATCCACGGTCAAATACTTTCTTTAAAAATGCAATTACATTGATGGTGGCGACGGCACCAGCACCAGCACCACCACAGAAATATTAATTAAATTTTTTTCCCCCAAACTCATTTCACCACCCACCGTAGCAGAACCACCATCAACGATGGGCATCTTATAAACTTCCACCATCTAGTTGCAAAGAACCAAATCGCAGAGATTTGGTTCGGAAATCCTAAATCTTTTTCTTCGATTTGGTTCTTGCAAACGGAGTGATTTGCTATGGTGGGTAGTGGCGTAGGTTTGGGAAAAAATATATTTGTTTGTTTTTTTTCTTAAAGTGGTGGTGGTGTTATCGACTATGCGTCGTGACTTCATTTATGGAGGTTGTGTTTGACCACTGATGGGGTTGGGGTGGGAATGATTGAGTTTAGAAGGGGAGATGAAATGTTCATTTTTTCTTAATTCCTTTTTTTTTTGTATGTTAATATTAATTTAATTATTTTAAGTGGAATATATGGGGAGGGTTCCGTGTACCAAGATTTTTGACAAATACATTTTGACAAAAAATCTCAATCCTTAATTTGAATGAATCTAACATATCACTTTTATTTCATTAAGACAATTTAAAATTTCCAATTGGGTCCCATTCAACACCAAATGTGCAAATACCCTCCCTATCACCCCATCCTGCATACCCTATTACACCCCTCTTAAGTCTTTCTCTCCCTCATTTCTCTCTACATATATATTCATATTGAACTTGTAATAATACACTAGTTATATAATAAGACAGGAAACTATAAAATTTTCTTGAAATCAGAAAATTATGGAATTATATACTCTTATTCATTTATATTTTCTAATTAAACCGTCTTCAATAGTTTATGCTCGGGAATTCTTTTTTTTTGAATTCATTGTGTTGACACACTAAAAATACAGTCCAAATTGAATAGCACATAATGGAAATATTTATTATTTTTATTCAAAATACTGACTTTATCATGACTTTGATAGAATGATAAAGTTTGTTAGATAACATTTGAATATGGCTTCACTTTTTTTTTTTTTTGCTTTTTGGTATTCTAGTTCGAATTAAACTTTGGTAGTTGATTATTGAAGTTTGATGGCGTTTCTTGTTGGGTGCTAGATAGAAATTTAAATAGATCCCCACTTCCCAAAAAATTTCAAATTCTTCATTGGAAATTGCTTTAAAATTCCGTAAATGGCTCAAATAAAGAGCTAATCAATGAACAAATGTTTCAGAATAACTTACTGAAACTCAATTTTGAAGGTTTTCCACTTCATTCATCATGAACCCTTTTTAATAATGTTAGGAAGTTGTGGTACGAAGCACAAAAATGCAACTAAAATAGAAACGGGAAATTAAAGAAAAATTGATGAACATATATCACGGACAAACTGTAGAAGAATTTTACTGTAACAAAAGGATTACAACAATTTCTCTTTATTATAAGGAGAGCACAATAACAATAACATTTCTCTTATAATAGGAGAAAACACTCTTTTAAACAAAGAAAATGCTAAGTATTCAGGAAAAACATCTCTTTTTCTCTTTCAAATTTTCTGTCTCGTTTTGTTTTCTCTCAAAAATTGGATACCTAGTGGCAGATTTAGCACCTAGCGAGCACCCGCGGCTGCATGTACTGGATCAGTCGAGAACTTTTTTTTTGTGACAATAGATACATTTTTTTTTGGATAATATAACTATAATTCATTTTATTTTCAAACACGTGTTGTAGCTCAGTTGATTAGAGTATCTATTTTCAAATTTGAAGTCCTCGGATTGAATTTCTACCAAAGCAATTTATTGTGCAATTATTCTAGTTCAACCTCTTTTACCAAAAGTAATGCAATAGGGAGGATTCGCATGTGTGCTCTCCTCTAGATTATTGAAAGCTTGCCCTTCATGATACTTGATGAATTTTGGCAATAAATGTAACATAATATTATATGTTCAAATTTAGCAATTTTAATGCAATTGGAAAGATTCGAACACGTGCTCTCTTTTTTTTGAATTATGCAAAACTTGGCCATTACGTCATTTGGTGAATATTGACATTAATTATAACAAAATTATATATATTTATCCTTAGCAAAGTAATTGATAAATTTTTTTGCGGTCGACGAGCAACGATCGTCCATGCTCATTCAAGACCCTAGATCCGTCACTGCGGATACCACAAGTAAATTATTCTATGCCCTATATATAGGAGTAAAAAGGTGTGTGAACATTGCATAGTATGGACATCAAATTGTAGCTGCATAGTGTGAACACCAAATTATGGTTGCATAGTATTAACACGAAATAGCGGCTGAACATCCAAAAAGTGGCATTACCAATTAACCACCATAAATAATAGTTCATTCTTGTTATTTCTGAAACATGTTTTGAAATAAATCATACATTGATTTGATCATTCTTATAAAAGAATGTATAGCGTACTCTGAAAAAAATCAAAAAACACGTGAAATCAAAATGAGCTAAAAGAACTCATTTGCAAAAAAAACCCTTGTAAGTGACTCCAAACAATGTGAACCAACACACTTGAGCAAAAAATGAAAGGATTAAGTAGATAAATAAGACATGAAATGATAACAGAGTTAGTTGGAAGTCAGTCAGTCAATCAATGACCGCCACATGTCATGAACCAAAAAGATCCATTTGCCTCCAAAGTCTGAAGAGAAATATATAAATAGGAGTGTTTGAGATGAAGAACGTTATCTAAAAATTAAAATATCTTCCTCTCAAATAATTATTTCTTCTCTCACTCTCTATCAAGCAACATGATAGGAAGTTTAGGAGAG